TGCCGCATGTCCAAATACTCATGTGCCAATCTCTCCCTTTTAACCAGTGGCACATATCTCAAGTGGATAATCTCAGAGAACTGCTCCCATGATACAACAGCTCTCTGCTTCGAAGTGTATGAACTAATAACCAGTGTCCACCAATCCTTCGCTCCAGACCGAAGAAGGTTCATAGCGAACTTGACCTTCTGGTCAGGTGGGCAGGAGCAAGTAAAGAAACATCCCTCAACATCGGACATCCATCTCATGGAAATGATCGTATCATGGACTCCATCAAACATCAGGGGCATCGTATTTTCGAAATCTATGTACTAGAAGGCTCCCCCCCCCCAATCCCCACAGTAGCGACGGCTATGGTAGCTGCAGCCTCTGAAAGTGTAGCGTATTGGTCATCAAAGAACTCAATCATGGCGGTCTTGATATACCCAAACAACTCTGGTATCTGCCCCCAAACAATAGAAACAACCTCATCATGAATCATCTCCCTAACCTGGTCCTCAGTCAGCCCTGGCCTATCTTGGCCACTTGCTCCTGCTCCTGATCCGGATCCCCTCGTGAAAACCATAATGAAATAAACTAGAAACTATCAAATAAAGCCAATTCATATCATAGGAGCTATTCCAAATAACGAAAACCTAGGGGTTGTGACTTCCCTGCTACGCGTACAGGTCCTGCACTTCCAGTAGTACGGGCCTATACTACCTTCTGCACCTACCCATATTTGTCTCAGAAGATCATCACAACGACCCTAACATCACTAGGATATGCATACATCCTATTCTCACTTCCTAGAGAAAGGCTGGACATTCCTCAACTGGCCCGCTGCTTACATATAACCCCTCCATGGGACTTCCGACAAAAGCGTATCATGAGCACTACATACTCCTTAAGCTATCCTATAATCCACATCTCAACCTACCATCAACTGCCAAATGACCCCCATTGGTGTCAGTTAACTACTGTATGAATACAATCACATTCAACATAACTTGAATAATCTTAGATTAAAAGATTCAACCCTGTAACAGTTGGACTTAGAAAAGGGCTTCGTAGTAGGACCGAAACCTTTACCCTAAAATTATTTAACCCATGCAACATGCGAATTAATGTATTCAATTAATAGTTAGTTCACACCCGAAAGAGTCATACAACAATCAACAAGAAAACTCTATAGGAAATAAGGCATTGTGTATCAGGCGATTCAATCATGCAATTCATGTAGATCCCTATCCTATAACTAGTATGATGTTCTAACATAACATAACATCAAATAACAGTGTGGGTAACTTGGGGTATACTTTATTGCTCTGGCTGATCGTACACATCGCATCCTTCATTGTTTACTTTTGAAAACAATTTTTGAAAATCATTTTAAAAACTTTTGTAGTTCCCTAGTTTGAGTCTGGATTCACACGAATGCTCATCCAATTCTCTCAAACCAAGGCTCTGATACCAACTTGTAGCACTCCAAAAATCACAATAAATTTAAAATTTTTAAAACCAACCATGAATCAATATTGTTTACAAAAAGAGTCATTGTTTCAAAAGAATTATTTCAAATCAGAGTTTTCCCAAGACCTGAAGACATAAAAACTCGAAACTTGCCTTCCCACGATCCTCAAAAATACCTGAAACCACAAACTAAAACTGTAAGCCAAAGCTTAGTGAGTTCCCCTAAAGTACTAGTACACCACAACAAATAAGCATACATTATGAACAACCAGCCTGACTGGACCGCCTCGCAGGGCCTACAACCTATCTAGACCGCTTTACAAGCCTTCAACATGACTGGACCGCCTCGCAGGGCCTACAACCTATCCTGACCGCTCCACAGGCCGTCGGCCTGACTATACCGCCTTTTAGGGCCTACAACCTATCAGATCCTCCCCGGGTTTCTTGGCCTATAGCACAAAGCAGGACCGCCTCAACCCAACCTAAGATGTCGACATATGCAACGAAAAAATATAAACATAGAGCCAGAAAATACAGATAATCATATCGATCTACTTAACGGCTACCACTATCATATCACTATCCTGATCAGGATAAATAACCTAGTTGGTCGGCCTTGGTGTCTTCGACCCACGGGTACAGTGAGGAAAACTCACCTCATAGTCTAAATGCATTCTGAATAACTCCCAGCTCCGACAACTGGCTCAACCCAAATCTTAAATGTCAAAACATTTCCCATTCTAAATTAATAACATTTCCCAATATACCCTTGGTCAAAACTCGTCAGAATCAACAAGTCAAGCGAGTCAAACACAACCGATTCAACCCAACCGAGTCAACTCATGGCTCGTACGCGGGGCGTACTCTGGAGGTACGCAGGGCGTACTCGGGCTTTGACCGGAGTCAGGAGGTTGACCACTTACGTGCGGCGTACGCTAGGGTACGCACGACGTACGCACATAATTTCCTTTCCTCAATAAGAGCTTAATGCATTAAGCTCTCACGTCCAAATTCCATATCGAAGGCCAAAATACCACTAAGAGTCATAAAGTTTCCAACTTTATGACTTTGCATGCCCATTAAGTGCTTAATACACAAAATCCCAACTTCTTAACACCTTAAGACCTTCTAGAGCATGCATGGGGAAAAACTAAACATCAAGACCACATTTTTATGACTCAAGTCCCCTCATTAGCTATGAAAGGACGACTGATTCGATTAAGAGCATGTCATGCTCAAGAATCACCATTTTGGGACCAAAAATACCCTAAGTGAAGAAATGGCTAGATCTACAAGATAAGATGATCAAGTTATGAGCTTTTTACCTCCTGTAGGTTGTTAGCAAGGAGAGAATCTCATATCCAAGTTGCTTCCAAGCTCCAAAAGTCCTTGTACCCACTTCTTCTTCTTCAAGAACACCGCCAAAGCACACAAAGGAGCTCAAAATACACTCTTCCCACTTAGGGTTTGCTAGAGGGACGTTTTCTTAGATGGAAGCTGATGAGGGAATGAGAAATGAGGTGATAATGATGCTTATATATATGGATCAAACCCTAAAATTTAGGGTTTGAGGTTTCTTTGCGTACGCCGTGTACGCTTAGCGTACTAAGGTCCGCCCTAGTACGCTTAGCGTACACAACGTACGCCCAGCGTACTAGGCCTTTGGCCAAAATCACCCAAATGCCACTATGGGCCATTCTTGCAACTTTCTCTAGCCCAAGGGTCAAAATGCAATATTCTTTCATACATATGGTTAAAATTTAAAATACCTCAACATCGAGATGTTACATGGAATGATTCTGTTTTCTCTTCTTAGTTTGAGTTTACCCAGTTTTGCCTTCTTGACCCGGTCCATTATATATATATATATATATATATAGACACACACACAGAGTTTAATAGATAACAAATTGTTTTCACATATCATATTCACGTTCATTTTGTCACGTGTCATTTTAAATTAAATTTTTTTCACATGTCATTTTATGTTTTTTTTTATTATTTTGTTAAAGTACACATAGTATTTAAATACGGAGTAGAATAACTGTAATAAATATAATAATAAATATATATCAATTTGATTAATACAATTTTCCTTTTAATTTCAAAATCCTTAAATTAATATCTAATTATTTCTTTTATTTATTTTTATTTGTTTATAATTAAAAGAAAAATAATCACTTCAATTTCAATAATTATATATTTTTCTCAGTTTTTTATAAATTCAATCCCTTAAATCTTTAAATCTTTATATTTAATTTTTTTTAATAAACCCGCTCACTGTTAGTATATATATTATAGATAAGGTTAGTGTAGTTAATTTTCCTTTTAATTATTTAAAAGTACATAAATGGAAGAAAATAAAACCAAATGCCAAAAGAGTTTTGAGTTTCAGCCAAATATGTGATGCGACTCTTCCCGATTCCTGTGGAGAGTATGAAGGTATGATTACCATTCTTTATCCGTTCTCTTTGATTTATTTTCATCAAAGCATTCTCCTTTAGCATGGCTTGTCTCCGATTTCCAGTAATCCCTTTAAATCATACTTCTCCTGTCAGCAAATCCCCCAGACCACAAACCCATTTGATAAAGCCTCAAGATAACGAAAAACATCATCAAATTCTTTACAATTCTTACTTTAAACACATTTCATCTGTTTGTAAAGAGGGGAAACTGCAAGAAGCTGTCAACATTCTTTTTGAATTGGACTCTCAGGACTTCGAAATTGGAGCAAATGTTTATGGCGATTTACTTCAAGGGTGTGTTTACGAGAGGAATCTCTCTCTGGGTAAGCAAATTCACTCAAGAGTCATTAAAAAAGGCGAATCCTTGGTTAAAAATGAGTACATTGAAACAAAATTGGTTGTTTTCTATGCGAAATGTGATTGTTTGGATGTTGCTTCAAGTCTATTCCGTAGATTAGACCAGAAAAACGTGTTCTCTTGGGCTGCCATCATCGGACTTTATTGTAGAATGGGTTATCTTGAAAATACATTGTTGGGATTTTGTGCAATGATAGAAAACGGGTTTGAGGCTGACAATTTTGTTGTTCCGAATGTGTTAAAAGCTTGTGGTGGTCTTTCGTTCATAGAGTTTGGGAAAGGTGTTCATGGGCACGTTGTGAAAAAGGGATTTGAAGGATGTGTTTTTGTAGCCAGCAGTCTTGTAGACATGTATGGCAAGTGCGGAGCTCTTGAAGATGCACGAAAGGTGTTTGACAATATGCCCGAAAGAAACGTTGTCACTTGGAACTCAATGATGGTTGCTTATGCTCAAAATGGGATGCACGAGGAAGCAATCCGTGTCTTCCATGACATGAGAACAGAAGACATTCAACCCACTGTGGTCACCATGGTAACCTTTCTTTCAGCTTCAGCTAATTTGTATGCTCTTGAAGAAGGTAAACAAGGTCACGCCATTGCAATTTCAACAGGTTTAGACTCAGGTAACATCATGGGTACTTCTTTAATCAATCTCTATTCCAAATTTGGTTTAATCGAGGATGCCGAGAAAATCTTTAACAAGATCCTTAACAAAGATACAGTAGCATGGAATTTGATGATATCTTGTTATCTACACAATAACCAAATCCAAAAAACTATAAATTTATGCCACGAGATGTTATCACAACGATTAAAATTCGATTCTGTCACAATGACATCAATCACAACAAGCGCAGGCAATACCCAGAATTTAAAACTTGGAAAATCAGCACATTGTCACATTATAAGAACCAATCTCATGTCTGACGTGGCAGTTTCAAGCAGCCTTGTGGACATGTATGCAAAATGTAACAAAATTCACGATGCAAGAACAGTTTTTTCCTTAACGGGTACTAAAGATCTTGTGTTATGGAACACATTATTGGCTGCTTATGCTGAAATCGGTTCAAGTGGTGAAGCATTAAATTTATTCTATAAAATGCAACTAGAAGGAGTGCCACCAAATACCGAATCTTGGAATTCGATAATTCTCGCATTCTTGAAAAATGGTCAAGTCAAAGAAGCCATGGATTCGTTTTCAGAAATGAAATCCTCCGGACTCGAGGGTAGTTTAGTCACTTACACTATTTTGATCTTCGGGTTAGTCCAAAACGGATTTGTTGATCAACCAATCTCAATATTTCAAGAAATGCAAGAAAACGGGATCAAACCGAATAATATAAGCATTGTTGGTGTACTTTCGGCTTGTAAAACTCGTGTTTCTTTGCAACTCGGAAGAGCGATATACGGATATGTATTACGTAACGAGATGGGTATAAACGTAATTTTGGCGACTTCATTGGTCGATATGTATGCAAAATGTGGGAATATAGATTATGCGAGAAAGGTTTTTGATATGATTGTTGTCAAGGGTTTACCGTTGTATAACGCAATGATTTCTGGTTACGCGTTACACGGTTGTGCCGCGGAAGCACTCGCGGTATTTCGGGAGTTGCAAAATGACGGTTTTGACCCTGATGAGATAACGTTCACGAGTGTTTTGTCGGTATGTCGACATTGTGGGCTTGTGAATGAAGGTTTGGGGCTTTTTGTTGATATGATTAGAAAGTATGGTGTGAAGCCCAGTATGGAGCATTTCGGTTGTGTGGCAAGTCTTCTTTCCAAGTGTGGAAATGATGAAGTTTTTCAGTTTGTTGAATGTATGCAATTTGAGCCCGATTCGCATATTTTGGGATCTTTGCTAGGGACTGGGACTGGGACTGGGACTGGGACTGGGACTGATACTGTGAAGTATTTAATGGAGAATTTGATGAAGATTGACCCGGGGAATTCGGGGAATTATGTGGCGGTTTCGAATGCGTATGCGGGAAAGGGAATGTGGAATGAAGTGTCGGAAATGAGGAATTTGATGAGAGAGAAAGGAATTAAGAAGAGTCCGGGGTGTAGTTGGGTTCAAATCGGGAAAGAAGTTCATGTTTTTGTGGCTAATGATCGATCACAATCACGAACGGATGAGATTTACTCGACTTTGGCGTTACTAAGAAAGGAAATGCTAGGGAATAGGGATCCATGATCGGTGGAAATGGAATTTGTATCAAGTTCATGGTTTCTATAATTAGAAGCAAAATGCGAGGTGAAGGTGAGGATGTTTTTTAACATGAGAAGATTTGTACAGTTTGGTTTGATGTGTAAAGAGCTTTTTGAAGCATTATATTACGAGGTGCATAGATATTCCAAGCATTATATAATGAAACAAAAAATTGTAAATTTTGTTTCAGTGTTTCACCCAAAAAATGGAAAAGACTTGCTTTCATCTCTAATTTAGACAAAAGACAAATACCTTTGTTTTCGTCATTGAAAATGGTCTAAAAAGATTGTTCCCAGTTTAGTTCAGTCTAGTCTGGTCTAGTCTAGTCTAGTCCCGTCTTGTCTAGTCTATATTCCTATGTTGTGTAATCGAGTGTGGCAACGTTATGAAGAGATTGATCCATTGTGATTTGTAACACCCGACAAAAATAAAGTATACTATATATATTTTTTTTAAAATATGTACTTCATACAAGTCATTATGGTTTACATCAAAAGATAATTATACAACATCAAGCCGAGTTTATAATTTTTACAAAACATTCCAAAGTTTAATTATGAAAAGAAAAACACTATGGCTACTCTATTAAGCTTTTTCTCTTATCCATAATGTTTGTACATGTAATCATAAAACAATTAACAAAGGTAAGCTTAAGGCTTAGTGAGTAATTTCTTCCTATGTCTTTAATATATTGTATCACAAGATGTCTTTTGTATCAAACAACTCATATAACCCTTATAGGTATGATATATATGTCTTTAATATACTGTATCACATGATGTCTTTTGTATCAAACAACTCATATAACCCTTATAGGTATGATATATATTTCTCATATATTCTTCATGACTCCATTTAGTAACACTATGTCATATCAAGAATTAGTTATGTCATTCAATCTCATCTTGTATTCATCAAGATATCAAGATCATCTCAACGAAATTCTCATACGTAACACCACCCAATCACCTCTTATATGTTTACTAGTATCGAATATTCTCTATTAATCATTCTCTTTCAGAAATCACATATATTTTAAACATGATATTTCAATTATAAATTCTTGAAATCTAATTAAGCATACCAATAATCTCTAAATCAATATATGAGGAAATCAAAGTTTATTCACACTATCTCATATCAAGAATTAGTTATCTCATTCAATCTCATCTTGTATTCATCAAGATTACATCAAGATCATCTCAACAAAATTCTCATACATAACACCACCCAATCACCTCTCATGGGTTTACTAGTATCAGATTCCATCCTCTATCAATCATTCTCTTTCAGGATCACATATATTTTAAACATGACATTTCAATTATAAATTCTTGAAATCTAATTAAGCATACCAATAATCACTAAATCAATATACGAGGAAATCAAAGTTTACTCACCTTGTACCTTATGGTTTATTTGGATGATATCCCAACCTTGGAACTTTATTGCTCGGCCTTTCCTCTTGATTTTCTAATCACAATTATCTTAGAAATATCAATAACAAGATTAATTACACATTTCAACCCGTAAACATAAATTCTCATTTGTGAAACCATATCATTTATTCATCATGAATAGAATCTATAAGTATATCAATCAATAAATACTCATATCATTGGCTGTTTAAAAAAAATACTCATATCGGGTTTAATTTACATATTATATTATTACATACATCAAAATCCAACATTCAAAGACTTAATTCATTAAGTCATATTTCTTCAGTCATAAACCCTAATCCTCATGAATCAAATTTAACATACAAGGTTTAATAACATGGTATTAAACTGGAATTAAGTCATAATATATCATATAACATCCTAATTTTATCAATTGAATTCAAACCCTTCATCTAGGGTTTCAACCAATCTTTCAAACTTTGCCCTAAATTCTCAACAAAAGTGTTATAATAGATGATTATCCATACATTGATTTAGCAAATTGGAACTCTATGCCTTTAATCTCTTCAAAATTGGACTTAGGAGGGTTAACTAGGTGTAAATCGCACCTTAATATGTGTTTCTAGAGAGCTGAAATTGAAATACTTTGTTTAAGGACATAACTTATTTTAACATCTGATGTGTCGTCACGTCGTGATGCTTTATCGGTCATGTCATGAGCATCATTCGTGACATTTCTTTTATACAACAAAACGGGATCCGTCGCTATTAATATAATATAACATACTTTCTCATGTCGTGACTTATCTCCTCTCACGTAGTGACACTCCCAAAGTAGATTGCCCTTACTTTTCATTTGCGTAACTCGTTTTTAACGTTCTTGCTTACGTCGTGACATCTTCTTGTCACATCGTGAGAAACGTTCATCATGTTTTTCTCATTCAGATGCCTTACACAACATTCATACTAATCATAATGCTATAAAACATAACATATCTCTACACAACTTTCACTACTTTCATACATTAATACTCAATTTTAAGCAATTAAACATAACATATATCTACTTAAGGATAATCATAGATTAAGTCAAAATGCACAAAAACATGTATTACATGATTCTAGAAGTTTATTCTAAGTTTTACAAACTTATTTGAGTTTTATAAATACTAATGCTTAGAGCACCCGTTTTAGCGACTTTAATTAATTGAAGCAAGTATTAGCGACTAAAAAATATGGCTTCCGTTTTCTAAATATTTCACGAGGATCATATGAATAGTCCTAGAAAATGACTCTTTCTATGTATTTTGTTTATTAGTTTTGTAAAAGATTTATAGTTATTACATAATATGGATGTTTTTGGTATATGTATCCATAAATGAACCGGTTTATTTTCTTTTCTTTTTTGTAAAGACTAAGATAACTTACAATATTGTAGAAAATAGTCGTTTTTAAATGTTATTTTACAAATAAAATTTTCTTTTTTACTTAATTTTTGTTAATTCATATTTTCTCAAAACCCTCGTCTCATTAATTAACAATATATATTAATTACATGAGGGTAGAGTTGTTAACACTTAACAAAGGATTGTAGAATGAGAAGAGGAAGACCAAGAAGGAAATGAGAAAATAGAGAAATTGACTCTTTCCGAAACATGACCTCCGATAGGAGCATGTGGAGACTTATGATTAGGATTGAGTAGTGTAGCTCCATGTGAATATGCCCTACTTATCTTAATATGTCCTACTTATCTGATCAGTGTGTATTATTTGTTCGTGTTTATTCTCTTCATATATCCTCGATGCATATTTTAATTAGCGGTTACATACTAATGTGTACTTCACTTTTTTTTCCATGTAATATAGTTGACATTTGTTTACTCACCCCTTTGTATGTCAAGAGGTCATGCATGTGAAGCAGTCGCTCTATCCATGTAAATGCATAGCTGCCTACATCTACATCTCTTACCCTATCTCAATGTGATGCCAAGATATGTTGTTGTATATAGGAATTACAACATCAATATAGATCGAGATAATTATGGGACATGATACTACAAATAAATACAAACATATATTATATACTAACGACACCCCCTCCCATATATTATATACTAACAACCACTTCCCCACATGTGTGTCCAGAACGGGAGATTGAGTTCATTTTCAAGCTGGATTTGAAATCAATGTTGAAGCCATCCCTTTTTGTGAAGATGTCAACATATTACGATGAAGAAGGAAAATGTAACATATAACACGCGGACTTAGCCCAAAGCAACTTTGTCGTGAACGAAGTGAATGCTAATCTTAATATGTTTGATCTTTTGATGCTTAATGAGATTGGAAGACAGATACACAAAGCTGAGATTGGCATAGTACATAATTGCGGCGCTAGTGGTTTGGTGATGAAGCTGGCAAAGAAAATTTCAAATCTAATTGGTTTCATAATAGCGTTTGCAATACCGTGATACTTGGCTTCAACACTTGTTCTAGAAAGACACAATAGCAAGAAGTGGAAAGTCTAGTGGTTAGGCAACATACCCAGTCAACATCAACGTAGATGTGTTATTTTGTGTTTCTGAAAACTTTTCATCGGGTTATTTTATATTGTAAGAAAGATGGTTTATAGGAAACTTAAATTCAATTTCAAGTTTTCTGCGATTTTTTAGCTTTATTAGTTGCCGAGTCACAGTAATTAACAAATCTTTCTAAATTTTTCACTATAAGATGAAGAAGCATTTGAAAATTAATTCTTACTTCTCAAATTGATTTTATATAAAGTTGCATGGCATGAAATCAAATATAAGAATAAATAAATGTTTGAGAGTACACGATTTACCAAAGATTCAACACCTTTATAGTTTTCTCTATTATCGCTTACTTCAACTAATTTTATTAAAAAAAATTATTTGAAAAACTTGAGTTTTATATAGTTTTAGCTAAGGCTGTAAACGAACCGAACGAACACGAACATGAATGTGTTCATGTTCGTTCGTTTAAGTTAGCCGAACAAATGAACGAACACGAACGAATAAACAAACAAATTTTCGTGTTCATGTTCGTTCGTTTAAAAATTTACATTGTTCATGTTCGTTCGTTTATGTTCGCGAACAGGCTAAACGAACATAAACGAACGAACACAAAGGAACATAGATAAATAAACATAACTAACATACATAAACATAAACGAACATAGATAAATAAACATAACTAAAATATATGAACAATAACGAATATATTATATAGTAATGTAATCAAACACAATTGAACATATACGAACATAAAATGAACTTAAATGAATGAACATAAGCGAACAACATAAACGAACGTTCATGAACATAATTAAATGAATGAGACCATTGTTCATATTCGTTCGTTTAGTTATTTATGTTCATGTTCGTTCATTTATTAAATAGACGAACATAAACGAACTTCCTGCTGGACGGTTAATGAACAGTTCGCCAAATGTTCAGTTTGTTTAAAGCCCTAGTTTTAACACTTTCGGTATAACTGTTCCAATGAATAGCACATAAATCCATCAATATATTCAAGTAAACCCTCTGTTCTTTTTGCAATACTAGA